ACACAGAATGCCCAGCAATTGCCAATATCTGAGAATATGTTCAGTGAAATGGGAACTCATCATCAGTAATAGTCTGAGGTCTTGGTTACATTATGCACTGTAACCCCTTGTCACAGGCAGTCAAAATTGATATTGTTTTAGCTACATTATCTCTAAAATCCTCTGACTTTTGCACCTCTTTTGCATCTCTTTTATCCTTTAAAAGTGTTTAAAGGATATGTAGATGTGGCTGGCACTTAGGGATATGGTTTAGTGCTGGACTTGGCAGTGCTGGGTTAACGGTTGAATGTGATGATCTCAAAGGTCTTTTCCGATCAAAATGATTCTGTGATTATTTTTTTTTTTTTGCTGTGAAAACTGCAGTGTGAGCTGGGAGCACCTTGGCACATGTAGATGTTCTGGCTACATCTGCTTCCCCCATAAATGACACTATGTCAGTGTGAAAGGAATCACTCCTCATTTGAATGAGGAAAATAAATATTTTTCAGTATCAAAGCCCAGAAGAACTTAAATATTGTGATTTCTCCTTCTTGACTCTGTTTGCGTGGTAAGATCAAAACAGACAGGCTGTTCCCAGCACCTCTTGGTGCTGGTGTTCTTGTTCAGTCATGGTTGTACAAAGATCAAAATAATGCTTATGGTACCTGAGTTTTTTGCCATTTAAATAAACAAAATGGTTACTCTATGGGAGAAATGTTCTAATTTTTATTGTTATTAGTTTAAAACAATGAAAAATCAGGCACAAAGAAAACAAAATTGTTTTGGTTTTGTGTGTTTGTTGCTTTTTTTCCAGTGGCTGCACAGTGAGATTGCTACAGGGCCAGGAACTGAGACCAGGTGTCCTGAGTCCCAGCCCAGACCTTTAAGCACCAAAATATCCTGCTCCTTGTGAATCCAGAGTGTTTTGGCAAAAGTTTCCCCAGTGTTTCATAATTAATGTCAGTCCTAGTCTCTGAACGTGTCTTACCAGTTAGGAATTTGCTTTCATATACACGCATCCACTTAAAAACTCCTCAAGACTCAGCAGCTGTTGGCTTTTTTGTGTTACTCGCATGTTTCTAAGGCAAATAGGGGACATGATAAATTGAAAAGTGTTGCATTGAAATGTTCTGCTTTGAGTCTACTTCCCAAAATCCAAAGGTCACCTCCGCTGTGAAGAGCCAGCAGGGCTAGACACAGTATGAGCTCTGCTTCAAGGGTGGGAAAGCAATTTTCTCTTGTGTCTAGAAATCAGACTCTTCCTTTCTTAATGGGGTGGATTTGATTTGGGAAGAACTAATCCCGTCTTAGGATCAGTGACAGTTTTGGACAGCTTTCTGAAAAGGAGCTAGAACCAAAGGAAAAAAGAACATCCCACAACAGGCTATTGCAGCTTGTGTCTCAAGGGACCAGTTCCCTGTCCAAGATGGATTTGGTCCCTTTTAAGTCTGCACTGGCAGGATGCTGTCTGTGAACAGGAATCTGTGGTGTGGAAGAATGCAATTCTCCTGAGTGACACAAATAGTAGTTTTATAGCAGTTCTGTGGATCAGATCAGCAGCAGCTCTTCAACAAACCACCACCTTGATCTCTTTAATCACTGGCTGTAGTGACAGTCCCACCTACACTCAGCATAACCTGAAAATTGCCATCCTGAGATACTCTGGTCGTTCCTTTATCCTGGATCAATCAGATGCTGCCCAGCTGCTATGAGCTTTTCCAGGTTGGGATTATGTTGAGATGAGTTTTTTAGGATGGGATGTATGTTTCTGAATAGAAATATGTCTTAGAAAAAAGAAGATTTCTACACTGAAGGGGCTTTGGGTTCTTTGTGCTGTCCTGAATGAAAAATTCTTAGAGTCAGTTTGCTCGCCTGCTGGGAAGCCAAGGGATTATGCTGGAGAGTGGTGTCCTTAGGAAAGCTCCAAGTGAAGGCCTGGAATATATCTTGTTTTTGCAGTCAAAGCTGGCTTCTCTGCACATGCTGACAGCACAGAGCTAATCTTGAAAAACTTCTGAAGTTTACACAAGGCAAATGTTTTGCAAGTCTGTGGGCACTGCAGCACAGCAGTGCTTTGGTGTTCAAAGGGCAGATCTGGGCAGTGGGCTGAGATGCTGTCTGACCAGAGCTTTCATCTTCCTTTCAGAGGTATTCATGCATGCTTCTTTGTCCAGCTCTTCTCTGGCCTTTCTGGGACCCAGATAAGCAGTTTTGGCTGTGCTGGAGCAGTGGAGCAGCAGAGGTGGTTTAGGAGAGCACTCGCCTGGTGTGGGTCTGGCTTGTGGTGATGGCTGAGCTTTTCCTCCAAAAGGTCTTTGTGTATCTGGGCACCTGCTTTCAAAACATCTCCATGCCCCAGTGAGCAACATGAGAGTGTGTCCAGATCAGCTTGTCTTATATAGAAGAGCCAATTTCACAAATCCCCTGGCAGATTTGTGTATCTGCTTCTATTCAATGTCTCCCCATCAGAATGACCCAGGCATCCCTGACAAGCTCAGCCAGTGATTTTCAACAGCTGTGATGTCTCCAGTTGCCACCAGTTTGACTCTCGTTTGCTCTGCAGACTGTGTTTGCACTCGTCCTAATCTAAATAACTCAGAAGAAAGAGCTGGGTACTTCTCTGGGGGATTTGCTGTGTGCCAGCATGCTCGGCACGTGTCCAGATGTGCTCCGCATCATCCCCACTTCTCTCACCTTTAAGTTAGACTTCCATACACCATCTATCTATCTATCTATCTATCTATCTATCTATCTATCTATCTATCTATCTATCTATCTATCTATCTATCTATCTATCTATCTATCTATCTATCTATCTATCTATCTATCTATCTATCTATCTATCTATCTATCTATCTATCTATCTATCTATCTATCTATCTATCTATCTATCTATCATCTCCTGGTTTTAATGCAAAATTTGTTTTCAGCTGCTTGCTGCACTTTCTAGTTTAATCCAATTTAATTTCTAATCTAGTTCTTGTTTTGAGGAAAAGCCAAAGAAAACCCATTACAGTAATTTTTCAGTATTTGCCACTTGGAACTTGTGTTTGAGAATGAAGATTCACAGGGCATTGGCTGCTTCCTTCACAGCCAAAATGCTCTCCCTCTGTGCTGCCCTCAGGGAAGGTTACCTCACAAAAATAATGCGTGTCTTCATCTTATATTTTCCTGAGTCTTGCCAAGCTTTACATGCAGTAGGAAAGGAGGCATCATTCTGCCAGCTCAACAACTGAGGTATTTTATTACCACTGGCAGACAGCTCCACTTTCCAAACAGGAGCAGATTTGCTGCATGGTTTGATGTGGGCTCCGTGCTTCTAGGTGGACTCTCCGTGTCCAGTCAAATTGACCCTGTTGCTCTTTCCCTGCTCCAGCTACTCCTGCTCAGAAAATTGGGATATAAAATGACTTTTGGCAGTGCTGTTGCTGCAGCCAAGCACCCAGAGCAAATCCGTCACCTTTTTTTTCCCTTAGTATTTCATCCCAAAACTTTCACAAGCTGCACATGCGACATTGCCATAGGATATACATAAGGAAGGGCATCCCTCAAGGAGAAGACCCCATGATTTCCCCCAGATATCAATCCCTCTTGGTTCAACAGGAGTTTGTGTGTTATCAGATGTGTATTTTAAAGATGGTTACAAACACCTCTGTGGGGGTAATGCACAACCTGCTGCTGAGGCAGCTGCTCAGACAATTGACAGTTCAGCCACATTTCTGAAGATAATTTTATGCTAGAGATGAAAGTAGTTATTATTGTGTGTGGCTGGTGATGAGTGTTTGCATGCCCTCTCTGAGTTCCTGAGAAATGCAGAGTATCAGACAGATCAAGGGGGCTCACTGAAAGAGGTCTTGGGTGTTTCTCATGGCTTGGCTGAAAGACAAGCTGCAGTTGATGCTTATTAAATGCATGAGAGTGTTAATCCAGTGTTAAGGAGCCCCAAGGAAGCTGCTGTTATCTCCAGGGAATGAGCAGAGCAGCCACAAGCTCACATCACATGGCCCCTCTGCCCTGCTCCAGGCATAGGATAACTGGGTGTGAAGCTCATACTTCTCTGCAGGTCTCTTTTTCAAGTGCTGTAATTTTGCTAATCTACTTGTCTAGTGGGTATGTGTGCTGGATGCTGCAGGGGAGCTGCCATACCATGATGTGCCTGAGCTCACTGGCTCCAGTGGTTGAGCCTGCTCAGCCTGCACACCTATCCCAGGGGCCTGGCTCTCTACTTTGCTGGTACTCAGTGGTGTTGGCTTTCTTTCAGAGCAAGTGGAAGCCGTGGAAGCAGCCTCTCTCCTGCTGGATCATGCAGATGCTTCACTTGAACATCTGTCCTGCTCCCTGTGCTCCCAGCAGCTGCTGTGGGTGTGTTTAGCACCAGAATTTCTGTTTATTTATGAGGCTTTCTCCAGGGTGAAACTAATGTCTGGTCTCAGTTCTGAATTTCTAAATGCAAATTAACTTGATATACCGAGATAAACTCCTCTTCAAGTCTCTGCCACCATTAGCAGAGTCTGGCCTTTTGCAGTTGTGTGCAGCTGAGCTTTACAAATGGCCCCAAGGCCTCACTTACAAGCAGAAGCCCTTAACCTGGCAATGGCTCAGCCTCTCAGGCTCATAGAGAGAGCAACCTCAGCAGCTGCTTTTCCCTGCTCTGTCCATCTCATATCTCATGAAAGCATCTCTCCACCTGGGACTGTGCAGGGGGTTGGAGTAGTAGTTCAGAGGATGCACAGCTGGAAAATAGGCTGGACTCTGTCACTGGTAGACCACATTGCAGACAGATAAGTGACCTGTCTGACTTTCAGGAACTCCAGCTCTTCTGATCTCCCTTTCTCTGGACTTTCCCCTCATTTCAGCTGTTTTCTTTAGCCTCTGCATTCAGGTTTTCCTTGGTTACCCATCACTGCCCAGCCCAGTGGTGTCAGAAGGGTATCAGAGGTACAGGTGTCAGAAGGTGCAGCATAAACTCCTGCATTTACTGTCCTGTATCACCAACACACTTTTTTCTTATCTTCTTACAGCTGAACAAGTTGGAGGAGGCAGCAGATGCAGCTCACACCTTCTTCATGGCAAACCCTGAGCACATGGAGATACAGCAGGACATTGAGAACTACAAGACCACGGCAGGGAAAGTCACCTTGATTGACCGGGAGGCCAGGCAGCACATGGTGAGTCTGAGCTAAGGAGGTGTCTGGGTTAAATGTCAGGCAGTCTGGAGAAAAGAGATTTGGGAGGCCAAGAGAGCATCATCTGTGAAAGGGGAGAGTCTTGCTGAGCTCCACATTACGATACAACAAAACAAGTTCTCCATTTCAGAGCTCTCCTTTAAGGCAAGTCAGCTCCTGCTTATTCAAGGCACTTATTTGATGGCTACATCCCCAACATGGTCCCTGTCTTCAGAGGACTCTGGGACATCCATGGCTGTGAACACACCAGTGGGCACCTTTCATCTTTGATGGATGCTTCCATAGGCACTGACAGACAGATCTTGTCTGATGTGTGTCGCTTTTGAGCTGCGCTGTCCCACCTGGGCAGGGTTCATGCACATGAGTGTTTGTGCTGCTGAGGGTGCAGGCAGGAGAGCCACAGCTCTTTTTACCTCCACAAGTGGAAGGCCAACACAAGTGCCAGGGCCACCCTCAACTTTCTGATTTCACAAGACACAAGGAAGCAGGAGTGGCATTTGGTGAAATGAATGGAGGTTCTAAAACAGGTCTTCTTGGGTCGAGTTCAGTCTTTTCCCTGGATATTCAGTGTGGTTGTTGCATAGGAGAGTTAAAGTAAAGAAGAAGAGTGTTTTTTTCACATGATATATAATCCAGCTGTGTCACTGAGGATGCACTAATTACAGAGAAGTTTAGAAGAGCATTTAGGCAGGTTTATGAGGTTTCACCAGTTCAAAAGTCCATTGATGGCTTAAACATGGTTTGGTGCCATGACTTAGCCCTGGTAGGAACCCAAGGAGATAATTCTATCCCTGCCAGTTTGTACCTCGTTTTGAGAAGCACCTGCAGCTGGTAAGAGCAGGATGCTATGCCTGAGCAGCCACACTCATGATCTTGTCTTCTGCCTACCTACTTTGCAGGAGGACTACAGTGCTGGAGTAAGGCACTATGACAAAGAGGAGTATGAACTGGCCATTGACCTCTTGGAGCGTGCACTAAAAGGGTACTACTCTGAGGATGAAGATTGCCAGATCATGTGTGAGGGACCACAGAGATTTGAAGAACATGAGTACCTGGAATATAAAGCTAGTCTCTATGAAGCTATTGCAGGTAAGATGTTTTTGCATCTTTAGTTTTCTCCCACTTTGGAGAATGATTGAATTTGGGCTTTTGGCTGGATTTGGTGTTTTCCCTTCCATCACTGCTGCTGGTGAGTTGCACTAGAGGAGGCACCTGGAAAGCCAGAAGATGCAAATTCAGAAGACAGGGAACTAGAACATCTCATTTTCATTCTGAATAGAAGCTGGGCTAGAAGAATTGCATTTCCAGATGTGTGTATCACTTACAGCTTTTCTGGGAGTGCTTTAACATAAGCTGCCTCAGTTTCCCACTGTAAGCAGTCTCACATACCTCTCTGGAATCTGGACATCCCTGGCCCCTGTTTGTATTTTGTTTTTCAGTGCATATGAATAAAGCAGCAAACTTCTTGGCCATGCTCCACACGGTCAGGAAAATTGCCCAAAAGGCTCAGACCGTAGATTTCCTGTCCATCCAAGGGGATGGATTTGTCATTAGTAGAGACCCACCTAATTATGATCTTGACTGAAATCTCTGGAGACAACCAAACGTTGCTGTGTGTTCTTCAGATTTACATGTGTGGCTCTGAGCCAGAGAGGATTAAAATGGTTCATTCTTAGTAGCAATGAGATTACATTTGATTAGTTGTAAGGGAAAGACGAGCAATAAATTTAGGTTTGTTTGGTGACAGAAATCTTATTTATCTGCTCATGGTCTTGGAGTTACATCAAGCTCTGAAACTTTGCTTCTTGTGTGGAAAATACTTCACTCAGATGCAGATTGCTTTTTCTTTTTGCATACATCTGTTTGAGCTGAAGCAGGAAATCTAATTGAAACAACCAAGATGAGAAACCACCAATATACCAGATGGGAAGATGCCTTTGCTGGGTTTATTTACCCATGCAAAAATCTGAGAAGTGTTGTAAGGGCTGACTTGGTGCCAGTGTAACTGTCAGCTGATCATGCCTGCTTTTAAGGGCCATATCAGGCCCTTGAAAAAAAGCAGCCTTTAGTGATAAAGGAAACCCACCTTCCTTCTCACAGAAAGCTGCTGCATTGAACAGGTTTTGCTCTCTGTTATATTGTTTCTGTGCCGTGCAAATTGAGTGCAGCCCCAGCAAGCAGAAAAGGTGTTTCTGTGCAGAGCCATGCAGAGTGCAGATGTGGTCGTGGTGTGGTGGTCTTCAAACTGTCTCATCACCTGGGGGTGAGGACAAGCATCTCTGCAAGTGCTGTAACTTGGCTTGGCCAGATGTGCCTGGGAATAACAAGTCCAAACCCCAGGGCTATTCAGGTACCCAAAGAGAAAGTGAAGTGAGGGAACAAAGAGGGAAATGAGGTAGGTAACGCAACTGCTTTGCTATAAGGAATTAAGTGGTTCCTTACAGGACAGCATAATCCAGTGTTTACCTTTCAATCCAGGACTCTCAGCCCCAGATGTTTCAGCAAGGAGTGGGAACACTAATGCACCAGGAGAAGAGAGTTTCAGTTTCTTCAAAACTCATTCCTCTGTTCAATCCCAAACTGATTTGCTGTGCTGCTGCATGGGGTTGAAAGTCTCTCACCTCTTTCCCCCCAGATGCATTCAGTGAATGGATTCCAGTCTGTTTAGCCTACATAGTTTCTAGGGCACTTTGACAGTACCAAAAAAAAAGCAGTATTTTTCTTGGTAGCATCATCTCAGTGATGGATTATTTTAGGTCTAAGATGCTTAAATAGATTTAAATTGCAACAAAATTATTTATGTCCTTTCCCTTCTTATTTTCCTTAGTGTAATACCCTGGATGTGTATGGTAAATCACATAACTACTCAGACTACCTGCCCAGAGCAAATTGGGAGCTGTTTTGAGTTTCCACTTGATTTCATTGCAAAATCCTGAGGTTGTTTTTTTGGCAGCTCTGAAAAATGCTTTGGTAGTTGAGCACATGGTTTTTTTCAAGCCTGTGTTTGTTTCTTAAGGTTTTTAATGGTGTACAGACAGTGCAAGCAAAGTAGATTTGTACGTGCATTGCAGCAAAGGCTCCAAACTGGAATCAGATGTCAGCATTGGCTTCAAAATTGTAGAGCTGATAGAATGCCTATATTGTGGACTCCCATCAGTTAAGAAACTCTGCTAATGGCAGATGTTTGTCACGGGCTTGCACTTCTCTGGGAGATACCTAATTTTTGAGAAGCCACAAACACAGGGATTTTGCTGCCAATGTTTGCACCGTAGACCTTTCGTATTCCCCATGCAGGTGCCTTGCTCGGTGGTGCTTGAGAAGCTGCACTGAACCCTCTTACCTAAACCTCCCTTGTGCCCTCAGGAGCTTAGTTGTTCCAGAAAGGAGAGAACTAAAGATGAGCTGAACGTGGGGGGGAATGAAAATGTCTTTCGTGTGGCAGCACATGTGGCCACCCTGCCATCACTTCTCCACTTGCTTTGTGAGTGTCTTTGCCCTTGGTATGGCTCTGGAGGTCGAAAATGCCACCTGTGTGTCCCTGCACCCATCCACTTTCCTAGGCAGAAGCAGCAGCTCCCGGCAGACAAAATAGATGCTCAAGCTCCCTCTGCAGTTGATAGAAGGAGTTAGACACTTCTCAAGGGGGGGCAAAAGTGCGACTGCAACTCTCCATTGGCTTTGGGAAGGATCCTTAGCTCTTTCCTTAAGTGCACAGTCACCTGCTGGACCAGAGCAGCATGGCTTTCCTATTCTTCAGCTGGGGAGATTTAACTTCTGTCTCTCCTCATCCGAGCACCACCACCATCCTTCTCAGTTCAGTCCATCTTCTTCTTTCCTGGGCAGATCACTACATGCAGGTCCTGGTGTGCAAACACGACTGTGTCCGAGAACTCGCCACGCGCTCGGGCCGGATCTCACCCATTGAAAATTTCCTTCCCCTCCACTATGACTACTTGCAGTTTGCCTATTACAGAGGTAAAGGCTTTCTTTCTGTTCCTCATAGTGCTTGCTGGGTTTTGTTACGTTTTGCACAAGGTTGAATTGCTTCATGCAGGAATCAGGATATTTCCCCATGATATTTGTGCTGAAGCCACACAGTGACATGGTTTGATAGAGTCAGGAAGCACAGGACATTGGAAACTGTCTCTTTGAAAGGCGTTTGCCTTTCAGGTTGACTTAAATGTAATTAAGTACTTCTGTAAAAGTGTTGTAATTAATCAGTCAGGTTTTAAAAGCCCAGCTTTTAGCTTAAACATTATTATTCTTTAAATAGATTGTGTTTTCACAGAGTCCTTTCATTTGTCTTTTGATATTAAAGTTCTGGGAATTTGTTTCACATTTTCTGAAACCAATAGATTATTTTTTTAAAGATAATATATAACAGCTATACAAGTTAGCCCAGACTTATCCCAAGTTTCCAGTTTTTCTAATTACCAAATATTTTAAGATTCACAGCAAACATGCAACATTGCAAAATATCAGGAGTTGGCAGTGCTATAAAATATTGCCAGTTGTGTGGCCCCATGTTGCATTTTATTATGTTCTGTTACCTAAAGGAAAATTGAGGCAGAATTTTGCTATCTCAGGCAGAATTTTGCTATCTCAGGCTTGTGCTAAGAGCTTTCCTGAAAAGGGCAAATTGTAGGAGGGTCAAAATTGCTACTCAGACCTGAAGTTTCTTCATTCATCAATGCAGTGGGAGGAATGCTGGAGGAGTCAGCAGTGTTTCGTGCACAGTGTACAGGCTTTTTGATTTCTTAGCCCAGTTAAAGTTTTAATATAGTGAGTAAAGCCTTTAGAGCCCTGAGAGATGCTGCACAGAAGAGGGGCACTTTGCTGCCAGAGGGCATCCACATCCTGCCCATACAGTTGGATCCAATTTGGATACCACCCAACCTGTGCATGAGCTCAGAGAAGTCATGTCTCTGTGCTTCAGTTTCCCTGTTGGTGAAATGGAGTGGTTAAGAACAAGCTGCATCAAAAGAGCCTTGTGAAGAGCTGGGCCCCCCTGTCAGCTGATGGAGAGCAAGCTCAGGCTGAACCCTCCCTCTCTGCAGAGACACTCCTTGGCTCTGCCCTGCTGTGCTCTGTGTGAGCCCCCTGGCACCACCAGTGGGGCTGTGCTCCTCTCTGCCTCCCCTGACAGCTCTTGTGTTGCCTCCCAGTTGGTGACTATGTAAAAGCCTTGGAGTGTGCCAAGACCTACCTCCTCTTCCACCCAGATGATGAAGATGTCTTAGAGAACGCAGGTTATTACGAGGGCCTCTTGGAAGGTACAATGGATCCAGACACCATCAAACCCAGAAAGGTGAGAGTGTCAACTAAGAACCGTTGGTGGGAGGCTTTAACAGAAACATCAGCTGGAAATAAAAGCAGGTTGACAGCTCTTCTGCAGTGGGAGCTCTTTGAAAACAGATGTGGAGTTGCTGGACCAGCTGGTGATGCTAATTGTCAGGGTGCAAGTCCAGAGCCACTTGTGTGGGGGAGACGTTGGAGGCCAGGATCTTCTTTAAATGGGGACTTCAGCATAGCAAAGCCCAAGCAAGGGCAGGGAGGGCCATGATCAAGTGCCTTAACAATGAAAACCCTCCTCCCAGTCATTGCTCCAGAGGACAGCGGGGGAGGAATGCAACAAAGCATTGAGCAGAGGGCAACCTCTGTTAGGAGAGGGCTGAGAAATATTTTCCCAAGGGAAGGCTGAGATGTCAGCGTTACTCTCAAGTCACTGAGCTCGGGGTTCAGTGCTCGGTGTGTTCTGCAGGGAGCAGCTTTGCTATCACAGGGTTAGACTGGGGTCAAACAACCAAACAGTGTGGGACAACCACCCAGTGGGACAGGCTTCCTCTCTGGTCTGGGGAGCCTTCATCTGCAGCCCTGGGACTGCCTTTCTCACGATGTGAAAGAGAAGATCCTCCTGTCCCATCACAGCCCTGCTGAGGCTCATTACCCTTGTGCCATAAGCAGAGGGTAGACAGGAACTGCATTTTCCATTCCCTTGGGAATTCCTTGATTTCCAGGAAAACAAAGGTGAATTTATCAAAATGCTACAAAAGAGGTATTATATAGAAAAACCAAAGCCAAAACAAGCAAACAAACAAAAATCTCAAAATATCAAACCCAAGAACAACTATTCTTTCTCCTCACAAAGTGAATCTAGGAAAAAACCTGAAGTTGCCAAAAACATTTTTTTTGTTTCCAGTGTTTTGAAGTTTCTTTGTAAAATAAATAAATTAATTAATTGATTTTTGCTTCGCGAAGTAATTTTCTGGGAGAAATCCCAGTGTTTTGTGTACAAATTTTTCATTTTAATTAAAGCCCTCTGATGGATGATTTCCAGCTGGCTGTGCTTTGTGGTTCCCATCTGAGCACAGTGAGTGTGTCCCACCCACCCACTGCTGGACTATGGGCCCTGTGTTGCTGGTGGGGAGCTGAGGCACAGCCCAGCCAGAGCCTCTGCTCCCCCAGCCTGAACCTACCTCCCTGGTCTGCATCTGGGATTTCTCTGACCAGACAACCTCTTCCCCAGCTTTTTAGAGGCTTTCCAAGGTGTTCAGCATTCTCTGCCAGCTATGGACGTATTATGGTGATTCAGGCTTCCCAAATGAGTTGCTGAACACCTTCCCTTCTGTAAGGCAGTGAGCTGCTCAGCCCTGTGTCCCAGGTTGTTCCAAAGCATGACCCAAGCATCCCTCACCCCGTAGGAATCTGCAGAGTTGTGTGAAAAGAAAACCCCTCCTGAAGAGAGGTGCATGGCCTGTGTCTTATGGAAGCTACATGTGCAACTGCTCCCTTTTTCCTCTTCTTTTTCAGGAAGCAAGGATGTTGCTGCGGCGCCATAAGCTGGAGTCTCACCTGCTGCAGGTGGCTGCAGCCGGCCTGGGATACACCTACACAGAGCCGGTAATGCCCGGGTCTGCCGTGGCAAGGACCTTTGGGAGTTCACAGCTGTAGGACCAGCTTCTCCTTTCACCTCTCTTGTAAAGCAAGTCCTGGTTAGGTGGCCCAGGCCTGGTTTGTTCCCTGTGGGAAAAGGTTATAGCAGAGCAGGGAAGGCAGCCGTACCCAGGGGCAAGAAGAAGCAGATGCAGCCTAGTCCATCTCTTCTGCCAGAGTGTCTGGCTGTGTCTCTGCCACTGGCCTGGTGATGGGGTGGGCCAGAGAAAGCTGAGCAAGGCAGGCTTCTGCTTCATGCATCATCTGATGCCAGTTTGGGTTGGGGTTACATTTTCAATTTGGTGACGCCAGGCAATTGCCCAAAGTTGTACAGAATGCATCTGTACCAGAGAGGCTGGCTGATGTCCCTGGCTGTGAGGCAGAGTGGGTAGCTCCCTGGCTTCAGCTGGAGCATTAAATTAAGAAGCACAACCTCTCTCTTTTCCTGCAGAACTACTGGAACCGATATGGTGCCCGCCAGGATGAGCACAGGTGAGCTAGCACCCATCCCATCTGCAGCTTCACCAGTCCCTGTAGTGGGGTGAAGGGGACATGCCCATGATGGGGTACCAGCCTGACACTCGAGGGATGCTGCCCAGCCACCCCAGCACACCATCATCATCGAATTAGGGTTCTTTGCCTCTTACTATTAGAAACATTTCCATAAGCACTTTATGTTAGCTGAGTGCCTAAAACCCAGCATTGGTCTAGAAGGAACTTAGCTGATGAGGCATGTGGTCCTCTGCAGATTTGTTGGTGTCTGTGCTTTGCTGGTGGAAACTGTTGTTTCCATTACCCGAAAAACATGGTCACCACAGGATGGGGTGAGGGCTTCCACTTGTATGGGTGTGACATTTGTACAAAGTACCAATTTGCCTTTTTTTCTTTTCATGTATTGATTTCTAAAAAGTGCATTTCTCAGAACCGGAGACCTATGGAAAAAGTCATGATGTTCCTCTTCTCTCCTGCTCCTCAGTGTCCCATCAAGCATCAGCAGTGAACCAGAGGATGGGCCCAGGCTGTCCCTGGCAAAGAAACCCATGCCAAAACCAGATCGAGAGTTGAAGGAGGGTAAGTCTGATTAAGATGTTTCAACAAAATCAGAAGTTTTTTCCTATTGCTAGAGGCTGCAGACTGCAAAGGCTGGCTGCTGAGCAATGGGGGGAAATCCTATCTGAGGGGGCTGAAGTTCTGTTTAAAGGACAGAGGAGTCTTTGATGGTACCACAGCATTTCTGAGTCTGGGGATCCCACCAGCACTTCTCTGCTCTTGAGTTTGCTTTTCCCACCTGCTGATCTGCTCAGTACAGAGCCTTGAGTTGTGTAGCTGGGAAGCTGGGTCCTCCTCACCATGGGAGAGGTGGCACCAGCAAACAGTAGTCTTTTCCCTAGATGCTTCTAAGTTTAAAATGTTCCCAGTTGTCTGGACTGCAGAAGGTTGGATGCTGGAGGCATTAGGTTTTGGGAATTCCCATCCTGATCCTTTGCTAAATGTGCTGCATCACACCACAGTATCAAACATTTCTGTTAGCAAACTGGCTTGTGATTTCATGTCTTGGCTTACATCAAATTTTAAGGCTTGTTGGCAGACTTTTCAACTGATTCCGGCACATTTTGGGCAACCACAGAAAATACCATTTTCTACTAGAGGCAAGAGTTCCCCCATAACAATTTTTAAAAACTGTATTGTAGCCAAATCCCAAAACATGCTCCTCAGTGCAAAACAACAGGATCTGCAGCCAGGAGGTGTCTTGTGTCTCTAGCTCCACAGCATCAGGCAGTTAAACCCCCTTGTAATGCAGTGGATGATTGTGCCTTTTTTGGAATTTCACAGGTTTCCATGACCCAAATCCTCTCTGGCTGCTCAGTGTCATGTTCAGAGCCCTGTTAGCCCTTCTCTAGCCATGTGTAAAATAAGCAGACACTGCAGGAAGATCCTGAAGAGCTTGCTTAAGCCAAGAGCTGGTTGATTTATGTCTGTTGGGCTGCTTGCTTTCTGTAATGAAATATTTTCAGGGTGCATCTTTCTCTGTTTTTTCTTCTCTTTTTTTTTTTAATTTTATTTTATTTTTTTTTTATTCTGGTTTACTTGCAGAATGTTTTGAAGTTTACAAGAAAATTGAAACCATTGAAAAAGAAAATGGGACTTCAGTGTATCCATCTGCTTCCTTTTGCCTTTTTGTCTTTATTTTCGCTTGGAAAAAGATGATAAAAGGCCAAAAGAGAAAAATGAGTCAATCTTAATTTTGTACTTCCATCTTTCTTTCCTTTCCCTCTTCCTCCTTTCTGTCAATTTCTTCACTCCTGAAAGTCCAAAGAATTCTCTGGTTTCTTTGGGGTGTTTTTCACAGACCATATAAAGGTCTCTCTCTTGTGGTCCTTAGAGTCAGTGGGGAAGAGGCAGGCAGCAGGGAGCATGCTGTCCATGGGAAAAGGGCTCAGTGTTCATTTATAATACATGCTGTTTGTTATCAAGCATCAAGAACAGCAAAGTGAACATGAGGAATGTCCCATCTTTTCTGTTTTCAAAAAAACCTGAATCTTCAGAAATCAAGCGATGGGCTCATGTTGGGGCTCTGTCCTCAGGGTTGTGTGCTCTCCATAGGTCAAGGAAACCTCCCAGAAACACCTAGTGTGCCTCAACAGACAGGAAAAATAGTAATTACAAAAGCAGTGTAACAGAGAATTGTCCTTGTGCCATGTGGTGAGAGGAGCTCTCCAGTTCTGTTTCCTCTGGTTTATTGCAGCTCTGTGATAACAGATATTTTTTCCCACAGTTTAGATGCATTTCACCTTCCTTCTGGAGGAACATCTAGTTCAGGTTTTCTTGGTTGTTGTTTTTTGTTTTGTTTTTTTTCTCCCTTTCATTCTCTCTCTTTGAGAAGATGAGGGGAAGAGGCTTTAGAAGATGATGATTCAGTGGCCTCGCCATGTTTGTTCTCATCGGGGAAATTTGATGGGGATAGATCCAAACTTCTTGTAAAGAGCTAATCTCTCTCTTCTCCTTGCCCATTCACTCAGCACATGGCAAGGCCCAGTTGCCCCATACCAGGCAGGAGCCCAGCAATGCTGTGGCTGTATTCCCATCCCAGGGTACCTGAGACCTCCAAAATGCAGCCAAGCCATTGGCCTCTGGCAGGAGGCAGCTTGGAGGCAGGGAGTGTGGGATGGCAGGGACAGCCATGGCAGCTCCTTTGCCTCTGCAGACGAAGATTGTCCTCATGGTCCTCTGCCTTGCCTACTCCCAACCCCTCTTCTTGGTGGAGAACAAGCAATGGCTTGATGCAAGCTCAGCACCACAATAGTTTTGTTGTTTTTTTTTTTAATGTAAAAGACAAAAAAAAGCCTGCTGATGACAGTTGCAGGGAGCAGCTCTGCATGCCAAGCTGACAAGATCCACACAGTACAAATGCAATGGAAACTTCTGACCTCCATTATGTTGGCTGCTGGGCAGGGAGGCCAAGGCAGCCGGTGTCTGTGTTTCATCGTGTCCCATCAGGTTTTAGCATTTTCAGGCTGTGGTCCCTGCGTTTGCAAGGCAGCTAATGAGAAGGTGGAAAATGCTGAGGCTCTTGCAGCAAATTGATTTCATCTCCGGGTGTTTCCATTCCTTCTGGTTCTTTTGTTGTTGATGTGAGGCCAAACTCTTCTCTCTGCTGTGAAGCTCTTTCCCTGGCAGCACACCCGGGTGATTTCAGCTGGCCTTCAGCCACAGTACAAGATGTCAATGAGGCCAGGGCATGTTCAGAGGGGTGGTTTTTTGTCTCTGTTTCCACCAGGGGGGCCACTTCTCTACAGCGGCGTGAAGTTTGTCTACAACTCGCAGCAGCTGAACGGCACCCAGCGAGTCCTGCTGGATAACGTCATCTCGGAGGAGCAGTGCCGAGAGCTTCACAGGGTGGCCAGCGTGAGTAGGCAATGCCCCTGGGAGGGACATGAGGGCCACCTGGGCTGAGTGCTTGATGCTTTCCCCAGCATCTGGCTTGTGAGAGCTGAATGCGTGACCAGCCCCTGGGGGAGGCTCTGGGTTCGTGTCTCACTCTTGAGTGTTGCAGCTGATGCCAGGATGCCTGTGGAGGGCAGTCAGATGCTTTTCCCCATAACGCACCTGTAGCACAGGAGCTGCTGCTCCATCTCGGGCTGTTCTTAGAAACATCCTGAAAGGCAGAGCCTGTGCAGAAATAGCTCTTTGCTGCATGCTATACACAGCTGCAAGGGATGCTCATCCACAAGCTTTGCTGAGCCTTCTCATTCATTAGCTGAGCCTGGGAAGGGTCTGGAGGTGCCTGAACATCCTCAGTCAGGAGGTGTGTGGCTGTTTTCTAGCATCTCAGAATGGACTATGTTCATGGAGAGCTGCTGTGCCTCCTTACCCAGCTCATCTCTCCAAGTGAGTGCAGCCTGGGGGAGGGTTGGGGAAGAGGCTGCCAGGTGTTTCCATTGCAGCTCCCTGTTTCCTGGGGAACCAGTTCACCCCTCACCCATGTTCATGTCTTTCAGGGGATCATGTTGGCTGGAGATGGTTACAGGGGCAAAACCTCCCCCCACACCCCAAATGAGAGATTTGAAGGAGCCACAGTCCTCAAAGCCCTCAAGGTATGTCTTCTTCCCTCCTCCTCCTCTCCTATGCCCTCTCTCCCAGCTGGCATGCAGTGCTGACCTTCTCTCACCCCTTCTTGCCCAGTATGGCTACGAGGGCCGCGTCCCACTGAAGAGTGCCCGGCTCTTCTACGACATCAGTGAGAAGGCTCGCAGGATCGTCGAGTCCTACTTCATGCTGAACTCCACACTCTACTTCTCCTACACCCACCTGGTGTGCCGCACTGCCCTCTCCGGTGAGGACTTGGGTTCTGGTGGCAGGGCAGGGCTGGGAGGACAGAATGGGTTCAGCTCCTCGTGGGGGGTTAACGAGTGGGGGACCCAAGCCTGAGAATAGCTCTGAACCTTAAACTGGTGGCTGAGAACTGGGCAAAGTTACTGTTCTTCACAGCAGCATAGGGTGGGCACTGCTGCCTCAAGGAAGGTAATTTCTGGGGTGTCTCTTGTTTTTTATGTCTCCAACTTTTCCTCTTTTCTTTTCTCTCTTCTCTTGTCTCCTTTCACTGTCTCATCTCCTTTCCATTCCCCCAGCTTTCCATCTTGCTTCCCTGAAGTAAGGAACAAGCAGAGCTGTGCAGATCTGAGTTGTCAGATGTTGCCTTTTCTCCCCAGCCTTTTCTTTCCTCCTCTCACCTGTGAACATCACCTGGAGTGGGGTTGGGGCAGGCTCCCCACTGTGATGGACCCCACAGAGCATGGCATTTCCATCTCATCCATCCCTTCTTCCCCTTCCTCCACATGGTCCTGCATAGGCCAGCAGGAAAGGAGGAATGACCTGAGCCACCCCATCCATGCTGACAACTGCCTCTTGGACCCCGAGGCCAACGAGTGCTGGAAGGAGCCTCCTGCCTACACCTTTCGGGATTACAGGTAGGAATGAAGGAAGAGGGGCTGTTGCTGGGGACCCTCCCCAAGGCAGGGCATCCTGCTCCACAGGCTGTGAGCCCTGGTATGTCCCAGCATGGGGCTCTGGGTGGGGCTCTGAGCAACCTGATCTAGTGGAAGGTGTCCCTGCACACAGCCAAGCAGGTTGGACTAGATGACCTTTAAAGGCTTCTAACAACGAAAATGACCCAAACCATTCTATGATTCAAGCCAGAGTTTAATGTAATGGCTCTGTGACATTTTAGGACCAGGAGGTTCCAGCTGTGGCCCACAGAGCTATGTCTCTGTCAGGTGTTTTTGGTGCAAAACTGGAAGGTGGGAGCTGATGGGACTGAGGGGATATAATGAGAAATGTTCTCTAGTCAAGGAGAGATCTGCTGGTTCTCTGTGGCTCCAAAATGGAGGCGATTTGGGTGGTTCCAAGCAGCCCCACAGTAGCCCCCCCACTGGCCAGCACCCCGCCCCCTTCCCACCCATATCACAGTGAAGCGATGCAGGGTCTGCCCCAGGGCGGGGGGCAGCCCTGAGCCCTCCCTGCTGCTTCCCTCACAGGGGTCTCCTGCTTCCTCCCCCAGTGCCCTCCTGTACATGAACGCGGATTTCGAAGGAGGCGAGTTCATTTTCACCGAGATGGATGCCAAAACTGTGACCGTGAGTCGGCGCTGTGAACTAAACTCTGTTCCTCGGCAGCCTGTGCTGGGGCTCTGGGCTGTACATCCTGCTGGCAGAGGCCCACAGACTTTTTTCTGTGCCCTCTCCAGGGGCCATGCCGAGCAGGAAACCTACAGATCGCAGGGATGACTGAGTCCTCACTGCCTGGAGGACAGCTGAGCTGCCACCCCATCTGGTGGCCAAACATGAAGCAGTGCCTCTGTACATGTGCAGTGTCTGGCCCAGAGCAGGTTGCAGTGGTGGACAACAGTCCCTGAGAGGGACAGGACTCAGGCACAAGTCCCCACCTCTGCTTGGGACTGTTTGGGAGGCTGGGCACCCCGTCTGTGGTTGGACAGAGCTTCTGGGCACCATGCTGAGGCTCTAAAGCACAGTAGATGCTGAGGGGTAGATTGCACCTACCTAAAAGCGGTGCTAGAGGGATCCTGCCTCTGAGGTCCTGCAGAATACCCATTGTGGACTCAGCAGAGAGCAGAAAGGAATTTCACAACCTGTGCCAGTGTTAGCCTGAGCCTCCCTGAGCTATGCCATGGCCTTGTTTTGCCATAGGTGGTCACCTGCAGGTTTCACCAGGACTCCATGCCACCATTTCCTTGCTGCATGATGGCTGCACAGCAGGACCAAGCTTCACACCTCCCCCTTTACCCCACACATTATTACAGCTATGTCCAGAGTTTTGCATGTCCTTCAGAGCAGCTCACTGTATCTTGGGGGTGATGCAGAGAGATACCCAAAACATGGGCAGTGTGTGCAGCCATGCTCCTTGCCACCCTGTTGTTTGTTGTCTGTTTTCCCACAGGCCTCCATCAAACCCAAGTGCGGGCGAATGATCAGCTTCTCGTCGGGTGGTGAGAACCCTCATGGGGTGAAGGCAGTTACCAAAGGCCAGCGCTGTGCTGTGGCTCTCTGGTTCACCTTGGATCCACTTTACAGAGAGCTGGTGAGCTCCTCCATCATGACGTGACGGGAGCTCGGGGCTAGCCAGCATCCTGGAGGGACCTGGACCATTTTCAGCCTCCAGTCTCAGCTATCACATTCCCAGCAGCTCCAGGCTCCCCAGAGATTCTCCTGCCAGCCATATTTGTGGGCAGCCATCACCCATGGGATGCTGAGTGGGCTGCTGAGTGGGGTGCAGGAGGGCTCTGCAGGGCTGGGCTGGCCATTTCTGACACCTAGTGGCCATAACCAGAGGAAAGGGCAAGTCCTCCACAGCCACCTGCAGCTCAGAGCCCAGTGATGCGCAGCTGCTGCCAGGTCCCCAAAAGCAGTTTTGCAGCTGGAAGGCACCTGGGCCTGGCACCCAGAGCCTTGGGAGATCTGAGCTGTGGTGCCTTGCAAGAGGAAAGCTCCAGGCAAAACTAAATGCAAGGAGAGAGCAAAACCCCTGTGTCTTTGCCTTGTGAAGCAGGTGGGCTGTGAGGGTCTGGAAGAAGCTTATTTTCAGACACGCACTTTACTGGCTTTCTAGCTGAAATTCCTCCATGCCTGGTGCATGTGTAGTAGGAGATCAGCCCTGGCTAGGGAGCTGGAAATCCATGTCAAGGGTAGGAGACAGGTGGAGGGAACATTGTGGCAGTGACTGCCAGCTCTGCTGTTACAGTTTCTTCCCTTCCCCTCTCACAGGAGCGAATCCAGGCAGATGAAGTGATTGCCATGTTGGACCAGGAGCATCTAGGACCCAGTGAAATGAACATCAACCCAAAGGATGAGCTATGAACTAGGCCAAAGACTTTTTCTATTAAATATTTATTTAATATTGTTAATCTTATTAGAACCCTTCTATTTTTGTACAGAGCCACTGTATAAATTAACAGGTTAATATGATCGTGGAGTTTCAGGAGTGCCTCTTGGGTGTTTAGCACGGTTCTTGCTGGGACCCCTCATCTGTGTGCCAGCATCTCCTGCTGCAGCTGCCTTTGCCTCTGGGATTCCCTGTCCTTCCCTAGCACTTCTCAGGACTTACTTAGGCCAACTCATCAGCCAGAAGTAGCTGCTTATCTTTAGCCTCTGCTAGAGAGAATTTTCAGATGTTTCATTTGGAATATGTTTTGGGGGAAAAAACAAAAAGCAAAACCTGGGTCTTAGCAAAAATGTGTATCTCTCTGTAGCCATGCAAAGCTGGCATTTGGGCATTAATTCAAAGCAGAGCTTTCAGAAATCCTCCACTGAGCAGGGGCATGAGCTGTGCACAGGCAAGAAGGGGTTTGATCTGCTGCTGGCTTGTGAAACAGGGTCTGTCACTCATGTTCAGGCCATGCTCTTGCCAATGGCCTGGGATGCATGAAAGAAACTGCTTCATACCTCATCCTTTGAGCTTCCAGCCCAGTGCTGCTGCTGGTAAAACCCAAGGTTTGAAGTCATAATTTCCAGGTCCAAGTTGGAAAGCAGCTGAAAGGCTCAGGGATGTTACAGTGCCATGGTGTTGAGTGATCAAGATGCAGCTTTGTACTCCAGATATCCTGGCTGCATCCTCTCGTCCTGACAGCAGCAGATGTTTATGGTGTGGTAGCATCTATTTCCTCAGAGTATTTCTGCCCCAGCCTGAGAGTGCTGCAGTGAAAGCACATGCTGCTTATCACAAGAGGTTTACTATGCCAGTAATTTCTGCTCAGTTAGTAAATAATCCCTCTTCCACCATTAATCACAGCAGGGATCACAGCAGGCCCTGCTTAAGTCAGAACAAACACAGAAGTCACAGAACTGCCCATATCCCAGACCTAGGAACAGCTTTTGTTTTGACCCAACAACTGCTTCTGCTGCTAGAGAGCAGTTCCTAAAAGGCAGGTTGCAGCAATCCTTACTGTTCAATTTACTGTAAGGCTGCTCTCTCTTCAGAAAGCACTGCTGGGATCTTGGCTGGAGTTTGCATCCCTGACCAGCCTTACTCAGCTCCCTACTGCATTTGCATTTTCTCAGCCCTTTTCTGCTCCCCTTTGCCAGCTTTGACATTTCCAGGACTATCTGCAATAGGGAATTGTCTATTCCCTTTGTTCATTCAGCTTGCACCTACCCAAATCTTCTAGGGTCAACAGGACTCTCTTCTCATCTAGTCACTGGTTGCAAAGGTCATAGGCAAGGATGGTCCTTCTGTAGAGACCTTCTCAAAAGCTGGTCCTGGACAAGATAAAGGGGAAAAAAATAATGCCTGGACTGTAAAGGGGCCATCATTAGTGCCTAGAAAATGATGGAAGATTCATTTGCTGTACCTCCTCCAATGTGGAATCTGCGGTGGAGAAAGCTCCGAGTGTTTCTGAGCCACCAGAGTAGCTTGCTTCTTAGAGGTTATCTCCCTTTCTCATAGACTGTTGAAGAGATCCATTGTATTGACTCTCCAAAGAACTGCCCACAGGTCTCTGCTTTCAGAGACCCTTCCCTGCTTAACTGACTCCTCTGTAAATGCTTAACTCTCCTTTTTTTAAATAGCTGGAGGAAAAGCTGGAGGGAAGAAGGGGAGAGTAGCTGGAGAACTGAAACACTGGTTATGTTGTCCTCCATCTACACCATGCTATTGCATTCAAGGCTTGATTTCTACCTACTGCACCTTCAGTATCAGTTTGTGCTGCCACCCCCCTGACAACCACATCTGCCTGAGCACATCCTGAAGAGCTGCCCCCTCCACTGGGATCGCACCCACTGGTCTTCCTGCAGGGAGGAGGAGGGGGGGACATCGCAGGTCGTGGTTTGTTTGCTGCTGTGGAGGTTAGCCAGAGCTGTGTCTAAATCCAGGGAAAATAAACTAAACACAACATCTGGGCCTTTCTTTGCCTTTCTTTATTCAAATACTAGAAGGGGTGACTGGGAAGTCTGTGATTTGTCTCATGGTAGTGCATCTCCCTTTGGGGTTTCCTGCCCAAGTCCCTTGAGTACCTACATTTGGAACTCAATTGCAAATATGAACCCCAAATCCCCAAGAAGAGGAAAGACTCTGGGCTGCTTCGGCTGTGCCAGTCCCCACACTGCTCTGCTGCCAAGACCTGCCTGTGGTCCCTGCCAGGCTGAAGCCAGGAAACAGGAATGCAGTGAGTCAAATGCACTTTTTATGTTTGTTTGTTTTTTCCAGCTCTCTGCTCTGGCAAAGTCTAGCTCAGAAGTGGATTTGTATTTCTGCCACAACAGCAGAGGTTGTTGCCAAGTGTATTGGCACACTGTGGCCTTGTAGGAGCAAGTTACAGAGCTCTTTCAGACATGCACCAAAATATAATGTAGACTTTTGGGTCTTCGTTGTATGGGAGTGGGATGGGTTGCCACCAAGGTAGCTTGGCCTCTGAGAAATGAATTTTACCTCTTAGGCTTGATGTAGGAACCTGCCATCTGCTGGAGCTGTTTGGGTCACATCCAGACTGTCCACAGAGCAGCAGCATTCCTGGGGAAAAAAAACCAACACAGATGTATACACTCCTCTTTGGTCAAGTATGCCCCAGGGACAACCTGGTGCACTAACATTTTATGCCTCCTGCTACATTGGGTCACTTTGGTTATTCCCTTTTTGCCCCATCAGGATGGTGACTGCTGCTCTCCAAAGTCCCTGTGAGAAGCAGCTTCCTAAGGAGGCAGTGCCCAAAGTCACTCCACTGCCAATAAAGCTGATGTATGTTTCAGAGCAATCTTCGTGGCCCTCAAGCCATCCCCTCTAGTCAAGGCTTGGCCACCAATGGGAACCACAACCTACTTAAATGTTGGCCATTTGTTATACGTGCCCCAGTTCTATCACTGGCTGTGGGAGCGGTTTGGAGATGGAGATGCTTGAACCGTGTCTTAGTTCCTTCTCAACGCTGCCATGCCCCTCCTAATACTAATAATAAATGCAAGCTGGGATTAGCAGGGTTGATTTTTGGCATTCAATGAGAGGAAAAAAAAATAATAAAGAAAAGAAAACGACTCATAAAGAAAACATGAGAAATTAAATAGTATTTAAAACAAGAACTGGAGTGGCTCTGTGTGTGTGTGTGCATGTGTGAGCTCTTGGGTGTGGCCATTGCTTGAAGTGAAGCCCTGCGTGGTGTTACTCAATGCCAGGGGATCTTTACTAGCAAGAAGCATTGGTTTTGTTTTGACATTCAATGGGCCCAAGCCAAGTCTGGTTGCCCCTTGCACAAGGCTGCTGCTAGGCATTGTTGTGGGGGGGGCTGGAGGAGCCCAGTCTGTGCCCCAGGCATTCCTTCAGCACCAGGAGCCAGTAAAGTTTTGGGAAAAAGCACAGATGAAATGGATGCTGTTGTTAAGGAGAAGATGAATCATTTCAATCATTGCGCTTTGCAGTCAGGGATGCAGCATCAGAGTGTGTGGGGCTGGCAGCAGTGAGGGCACCATGGCATGGGGAACACTGGCTAACAGGGGCCATGGTAGCCCAACAAGGCACCCAGTGCCTTGTGCAGAGGGTAGGAACACGGAAAAGTCTTTCTACAAGTAAAGAACCATCAAAGGGGGGACAGCAGAAAGTCTGAGGCTGAGCCCCTTTGGGTTGTAAATGCCTTGCTGCAAGTGGCTTCTGGGAAATTCCCTCCAGCTAAAAGCTCAGCTCTGAAACCTCACCAGAAAATAAGACTTGTGGGTATTTACAAATTCTTGAAACCACCGTCAAGGCTGAAATACCTAAAGCTCTTTATGTCCAGTGGCTCCAGAGTCTAATAAAACCTGGGCATTTCCATAGGCTGTGAGAATTTTTTCAGCAACTGAACCTCACCTGTACTACTGTGGAGGTTTAGGGCCATGTGGACAAGTTAATCTACAACAGCTTCACTGAATGATGACTAATTTCCATTAATTCCAAGTTGAGCCATGATAAGCTTATAAAATATGGTGTATTTGGACCTTTTCTATGTCCTCTTTTTTTCTCAGGAGCCAGTCTGACAGCCCAAAAACACAGCAGATTTGAAGAGCCTTGGAGACCCAGAAACAAGCCCTACAAGCAACCAGCCTGGTTGAAGACCCTCAACTCCATGCCACCCTGCAGCTGTGTCCCTCTTGTCATCTTCCCACTCAACCGCTCGGTCTCTGCCCTGGTGATGGAGGATTTGGGTGGTATCATCCACACCGACTGCTGCACGTAAGTTTGTCCAGTCCCTAAGGGTCTCCTCACCTTGAAAGGCAGCTGCTGTTGGCTCTTGGGGGGAAAAGAGCCTGGAAAGGCTTGTCAGCTTCCCATTGCAGCTGCTGGCTGCCTGCAAGCTGCAGTGATTTAGCCAAGAGAAAGATGAGAGCAGAGGAAGGAGATGGAGTTTGCACTGAGCGGTGCTCAGCCCTCCTGTTTAAACCTGGCAGAGCCAAGCTGATCATTTGCAGGCACCTGAACATCTTCCCATGAAAACCTGTCATAAAAAAAAAAAAAAAAGGTTGTTTCCTCCTGTCCACACCCTTGCCCAACCTGGGGCAAAAAAAGAACAAAAAACAGCCGGCTGTAATAGCGCTGGCAGTGAGATAAAAATGGGCTAGTCCTGCTTTGGGGAAGAACTATATTTAAAAATGAAATGTTGTTTGTTTCTGCAAGTGCCCACAGCCCACCAGAAAAGACACCACTTCTGGCAGGAAATTTTGCTGCTTGTCTGTGCATCAGGGCGTGACCCTGCCTGGGTCTCACAATGTTGTGCTCTTCCCCAGCTGTCATCAGGCACATATATATGTATATATATATATGTGTGTGTGTGTGTGTGTGCTTTTCCTCCCACCATCCCATTTACACAATGGGCACCCAAACCCAGCATATAAGGTGACTTGGTGCCAGCAGCAGCACCAGCATCCCAGAACCAATGGAGTGCAGCCATGCACAAGGCCAGATCTTGCACTCTTGTTTACCCCAGGCATGTCCTGCCT